TGCCCCCCAAACCAGCCAAAAACAGGCATGTGTGGGCAGGCCAGCTGGTCTTCAGGTTTCCAGTGCTCCGGCATGCGCGAACACCAGCTAGCTGGCACGCCACATGTGTGCCGGAAACCAAAGACCAGCTGGCTGGCATGTGCACAGCCAGTTGGGTCTTTGGGTTTCCAGCGCTCCAGTAAGCACATGCACACGCATTCTGGTTTGGGCACTGAGTGCCGAAAAGGTTCACCATCTTTGTACTAGATATTTGTGGTCATCAATTACCTCTGACTGTGCCAATGAATTCTTCCAATCGTTGCAAAAGATCTACATCTCTCTCAAAATCATAGAAATGATGTTCCACCCAGTGTCGACATACATTTAATACTCTGCAACATAAATGATTAGATATTTGAGACCAATATTTACTGAATATATTTTAAATAACAATTAGTAGGGCTGCAATTTGAGTATTTACACAAATTGTAGCCCTACTAAGCAACTCATAGATAGAAGGAGCACAGATTTATAAGCACTCTTATTTAACTCTGAGCCTGACTGGCCATTCTTTGAAAAGGATGAGAAGAGTGATCCTTCCGGCATAAGTGATCTCCCATTCAAGTTCTAACACTTGGACTAAAAGGCAAGTTTGTGCAATAAGCTGATCACTAGCTAACACTAAGGTTGTCTATTGTGCACAAAAAAGAAAAGACAGAAAAACAGAAAAATTCTGTTTCAAGAAATTGTAATGGAGCCTATATTTTCTAATGAAATGAAATGCAACTATAACTAAGAAGATTCAATTTCGGGACTTTTATGAAAAGATTTTCTTTATAACCACAAAATCATAAACCTAATATTTGATAGCTAGGTTACTCTGAAAAATCATGGAATGTACTATCATGAGAATTTATAATCTGTGAAAAAATATTGATTGGAAATATAAATGTTTTAATATTGTCAGAATGAGTGATCAAGTTCCAGCACTTTTGTATTTATGTTGTCCAACAAGATTCTCCAGAAGTACTGTTTTGTAAGTGATGCTGCCAATGTTGAATTATTACATACAAATCTTGTAAGATTACTGAGTAAATTGAATTCCTAGAGTGGAAACTGAATTATTATCTCTTTATACATTATGTCATTTGTCTTCTAATCAAGATGTTTGGTCTCTGTTAAATATGAAGCTAAATATGAACTTAAAACTCATCAGTGGACTCTATGATTGTAGGTAATATCTGCCCCTCAGAAGCTTCATTTCAACTGGAAACATGCTGGATAAGGCCTCTGGATGCCCAAATGGGGCATCCACCCCTCAGAAGCTCCATTTCAATTTGCAACGTGCAGGATGAATGTTGCAGAGCCTCTGTGGTTGTTCNATGGTCTTAGGCGACCCCTGTGAAAGGGTCGTTCAACCCCCAAAGGGGTCCCGACCCACAGGTTGCGAGCCACTGCCTTAGAGGCTTTTGGAATGAATGGCAGACAAATCTAGCAAATAAAATTAAATCCAATCCAATCTTTCTAGTTCTACTGGTATACAGAGATAATTAGAAAATAACTGTTATTTGTTATCAGTTAACTGTTTTAAAGATTTGAAAAGATTCCTTACCAGCATACATGTGGAATGTAAGTCTCTCAATCAGTTTGACAACAGACCCTGCCTTAATAATTGGGATTCCAGATTTGGGCTGCATGTTTTCTTCAAAAACAATATTTTCTGTAGAATCAGGTTCTGCAAATCTATATAGCTCAGGACTTGGAAATCTCATCTGCTCCTCTTTCTCTTCTTGCAACATTGTTACATCTAACATGCGTTCCAGAGTACTTCTGTACTGTAAAGAGATCAAGGCTGCCATCCAGTTGTTCTTCTCTTCAGCTGATTTAGCAGCAAAAATAACACTGTTCTCATCTTTCAAAATGATTTCAAAAGCATGCTTGTACTCGTTAGTATTATCTTTATCATTGATCTGTACCTTTCGCATAAGAAATTTCTCTTTCAGACGATATTCTGCATTGCTAGCACCAGGCAGTCTTGGTTGCCCATGATTTGACTTACAACAAATCATCAGACCATCAAAGAGAAATATATGTCTTTCATGTTTGGCACCCACACGTGTGAGAGTTCCCTCCATAATAAATTCATTACAGCACTGTCCAATGTCTTTTCCTTCCCAGCCATCAATATTCTTCTGGATCTCGTTCATTTTCTTGATTGCTAGTTGCTTCCCCTTCATTTGTTGACTGTAGAATCGGCATGCAGATTCACTTTGAAAGATAAGCAAGATGTACTTATTTATACAGTAACAATCACATATTGAGCATAAAAATAGCATGTTTGTTGACAACTAATGTGGAAAAGAGTTTAATAGGATCTAGAAGATGACGCTAGAAAAGAAATCAGCAAGTTAGCTTCAACTATATGCAGAAAATTTCAGATCTGAAAGTGCTGTCATGCTTAAAAATGTAATTGACAAATCAACAGATTCCAGTTAGACTTATTTAAACTGTCAAGTAGCAACTAATATTTTATTAACAAATAATTAAAAATATGAATATTACTTTCCATTCTTATGTATTATACTCACCATGTGCCCTAAACCATTACCAAATCAGTTAGTACAAAAACCGTTAAATGTTCTAAATTAATCTGCAAGATATTTTTGCTTGGATAATAGTTAATAAAAAACTTTTTTCTGTCTGCTTACCAGTGGAGTCTCAAGAAGCATTTACTAGAAGCATGAAGGCAAACACAGATACAACTTTAAAACAATAGCTATCCGGACTTTGATGTCACTTCCTCTGAAAAATCATTGTTGCAAACTACTTTGTTCGTTGTTCACTAAGAAAGGAAACTGAGAAATCCAGATCTACAGCGCAGTGCTCCAGGACTAAAAAGTACGGAGAATACAGAAGTGCATTTACCTAAGCCTCCTCTTTGCAAGACTTTTGGAGCAAATTCTTTCCATACTACTCTGAAGATTAAGCAGGGCTGTAATTGCTTGCTTCAAGCACTCTTTATCTTCTTCATCTTCACTCTTCTCTTCTAATTGCTATGAATAGAAGAACAATTTATATGTATAAAATCTTACAGATTAGTTTTTATCTTTCAGAGGAAAGCATTTCTTTTTGATGTAGTTATGTTTGTAATAACAAATAATAATGCTATGAGAGGGAGAGGAAAAGGACAATTTATCTACATAAAATTTCCTGGTGTTTATATGGAAAAATCAATATTCTTCACACAGCACTGCCAGATACAGCCTTGAGAATGGATGAAAAATGAGCAAATCTTTCACTAGACCAGTTCTTTGTTGGCTCTCTGTCTCAAAACAATATATAATCAGATGAGCCGCTTTTAATAGGCCAGTTTGAGGTGGTGCGACTTACAGGAAGTGAGAGATAACATTGACAAAGGAAAGGAATGGAAGGTAGGCAAGGAGGAGAAAACAGCACTGAAACCCTCTCAATTCATTTTGCTTTAAATCTTTTTCCAAAATAATAATTTTATTAAAATTGTATTGATAAAAATTATACCAACTGAAAAAGAAAAAATAGAAATTAGAATTTTCTTTGCAGAAAGAGAAAACAAATAAGAATATAATAAAGATTAAAAAAGAACTATATAAAGAAATGACTCATGACTCAGAAGATTCATAACAAATTTTACTAACTTATCACCTTTTCTTAAAATACAACAAATAAAGCAAATTCCTAAAATCTTGAACTTTCAGTCCTGATCAGCTAAAGACCATTAAAAATTATCAGAGACGACATATGTATCTTAGTGTTGATCCAAAAAGCAACATTTTACTTTTAATAATCTTGATCATTAGTCCTTTCAAATCATGTCCTAGACCTAGAACTTGATTTTTTTTCATTTTTTCCCTCACAAAATTCTTTAAAGGTTTAACTCTTCTGTAAATCCACCATAGGAAAATTAACCAGGTCAGTCTCCTGATTTGTTATTTTTATATCTCTTGTCATTATTAAGACATTAGCTACTGTAGATTCTCTTGTATGTTCATCCTTTTTCACATCATTTTTGCAGAGTGTCATTTTTAAATCCATTTTCAGATCGGTCTAGTTTTGTCCAGTAAAATATGTTCCTCCTCCATAACATCTTTTATGGAGATAGTCTATTTATAAACGCAGAGAACTCTTAAAATTAACTTTGGATCCATTCTCCAAAAATATCTGTCAATATGTCTAATGTTAAAATATTTTGCCTCATTTTGTATTAGTAAGACTAATTTAAGTGTAATTTAATTGTAAGTTTCTTCCAAATCCCTCTAATGTTCAATCTTCATAGTCTCATCCTATGTTTTTTCCTGGAATTCAGAACAAAAGCATTTTCCAACAGGGAAAGGGGGGCCTTTGCCCAAGTTCGTCTGGTGCACCAATTGCGGCCCTATTTGGACCGGGAGGCACTTCTAACGGTCACTCATGCCCTTGTCACCTTGAGGCTGGATTATTGTAAGGCGCTCTACATGGGGCTACCCTTGAAAAGCATTCGGAGACTGCAGTTAGTTCAGAATGCGGCCGCGCGGGCAATATTGGGTGTGCCGAGGTACACCCACGTTACACCTATCCTCCGTGAGCTGCACTGGCTACCTATTGGTCTCTGGACTCAATTCAAGGTGTTGGTTATTACCTTTAAAGCCCTTCATGGGACGAGGGACCAGGTGATCTGAGGGACCGTCTCTTGCCGGTCACATCTACCTGACCCATCAGAGTGGGGAGGCAGGGAATGTTGTGGGTCCCATCCCTGAGGGAGATGTACCTGGTGGGACCCAGAAGGAGGGTCTTCTCCATGATAGCTCCTTCTCTCTCTGTGAAACATCATCCCTCCAGAAATTAGATTCTTTTGGAAGGCTCTGAAGATGTGGCTCTGCCAGGGGGCCTGGGGAACCCAAAGTGGGATGGAGCCTATTAAATGAATGGTATGAATATGTGTTGTCACTGGGGTGGGGGTTATTTTTTATTATTTTTATTTTCTATTATTTTTATTTTCTGTTATTTTTATTTTTAGTTCTTTTATATTGTTCT